TCATACATCATCTAAAGGCCTCACAGCTCACAATGAAGGAGCCAGGACTAGAGCCCAGATACAGGGTGACTTTGGAGTGCATAACATCATACTTCTCTCCCATGCTTTTAAGGAAGGCCACTGAACACACCCGTGGGTCTCAGATCTGGGCCAGGCAGGTACAGAACCTGGCTGCTGCAGGTGCCTTGTGAGATCTCACCCAAGTTCTCTGGGGCAGGGGCTTCCTTCCATATATAAACCATCAACCCTGCTTCTGGGCAGTGTTTTTCTGACCTAGGTGCCCTGGAGAGCCAAACCAGGCTGCCATGTCCGTCTCTGCAAGCAGGGTCCTGGACATGAGTGCTGACTGCCTGGGATTCCCCACCAATATCAGTGCCCATCTCTGGCTGGGTTCTGGGGTGATGTGCGCCAGGAAAAATGCCTTGAGGTGGCTTTCACTCAGCTGGCTTGAGCAGGGCAGGGAGTGGCTTGGAGTCAGATGTATGTTCCTACCTGTGGCCTCAGACTCCCTGAGTTCATCTCCTCTGACTACCTGCCCCTTATGATGGATTTTCCATGCCAAGAAAGGGTGCTGACCAAAGGCCGTATCACTTCTCTGTCTAGAGAACACACAGTCCACCCAATCTTGCCCAAGGGAGTGATGAACTCAGGGCCCAAGCATTCAAGGAAGGTGAAAGCCACAGTCATAGCTGTAAAGAAGATCTGAGTGAGCCCTTTTCTTGTAGAGAGAAACTGAGGCACTGATGGAAGCAGAAGGATTCAGAATGTCAATGCTGAAGCGTCAAGAAAATCTCAAATTATGCTCAAAGCTAGGATGCTCATGAAACATTCGTTTTTATCAAAAGTGTTAAATACAACAGAACATCATTCCTTAAAAAGGAATGCAATTCTGACACATGCCACAATATGGATGGACCTTGAAGACATTGTCTAAGTGAAATAAGCCAGTTGCAAAAGGACAGATACTATATGATTCTACCTATATAAGACACCTAGAGTAGTCAAATTCATAGAGACAGAAAGTAGAACAATGGTTATCAGGGGCTTGGGGGCAGGGAGAATGGGCAGTTAGTGTTCAATGGGTACAGAGTTTCAATACAGGACGATGGAAAAGTTCTGGAGATGGATAGTGGTGCTGGTTGCACAAGAATGTAAATGTACTTAATATGACTGAATTTTACATTAAAAATAAGTAAAATAATAAAATTTCTGTTATATATATTTTACCACAACTTTAAAAAAGTGTTAAGAGAATTTAGCCCTTGAATCCAAACTCTGCCACGAAGGAAGCTCAAGAAGATAAGCTGTTGCTTCAGCAGGTAAGCTTGGCAAGTGAAATGCTGCTCTGTACTTGTTTGAAATCCTGCTCGCCATTGAGACTTTCTGCTGTGATATTGTGATTTATAATAAATATATATTTGGTCTTTGTCTCATTCCTGGCACGGAGCTCCTAAAATCCTTGGAATTTCCTAAGTGCCAAGAGTGATAAATGTGTCTTGATATTCATAACAAAACCCCAGTCAACCACCCCTGAGTTCATGTTAATGTAGTGACTTTTGGACCCCCACCTAAGAATGGGGGCTGGTTGCCAGGGAAACCAATCATGTGATTAGAGGGTTGGAACTTTTAGTCCGGACCTCCTGACTTCTGGGGGGCAGAATGGGGCTGGAGATTGAATCAATGGACAATGGCCAGTGATTTAGTCAGTCATGCCTATGTAATGAAGCCTCCATAAAAACCCAAAAGGATGGGGTTCAGAGAGCTTCTGGGTTGGTGAACAAGTGGAGATGCTGGGAGGGTGGTGTATTCAGAGAGGGCATGGAAGTCTGAAGCCCTACTCACATACACTGCCCTATTCATCTCTTTCATCTAGTTATTCCTGAGTTACATCCTTTTATAATAAACCAGTAATCTGAGAAGTAAAATGTTTCTCAGAGTTCTGTGAGACACTAGCAAATTAATTGAACCCAAGGAGGGGATCATTGGAAATTTAGATCTATAGCTGGTCAGTCAGAAGCACAGGTGACAGCCTGGACTTGTGATTGAAGTCTGAAGAGGGTGGGGGCAATCTTGAAAGGCTGAATCCTTAACCTATAGGATCTGCCACTATCTCCAGGTAGATAGTGTCTGAATTGAATTGAACTGTAGGACACCCGGCTGGTGTCAGAGAATTGCTTGATGGTGTGGGGAAAAAAACACACATCAGAATTGACGTCAGAATCAAAACACTAAAATGGGATGAAGTCTGTTGGTTGATGTGATTTGATTAATTTACTCAGCATGTGTGTACTGTGGATCTCTCCTATGATGGGCACCGGGCTAAGCACAGAGTTACTAATGAGTTTTGTTTTGTTTAAGTAGAATGTAATTTACATATAGCAGAACACAATATGTATATAGCTCAGTTAATTTTATGACTATACCACAGTTTGTTTATCCATTCCTCTGTAGATTTTTAGGTTAGTTCTAGTTTTTGCCTGTTATAAATAAAGATGCTCTGGACTTTTTTGTGCAAGTCTTTTTTTGGACACATGTATTTCTCTTAAGTTCAGAGATGAGAAAGATCAGAATCAGAAAAGGCTTCATGGAGGAAACAACATTTCAGTTCATCATTGAGGGAGAAAGATGAATTCAAACATGTTCAGAATGTAGTTACAGGGGGTGGGCTGGGCAGAGCTTTCTGTATGGAGGGCAAATGTGGGCCAAAGCAGGATCTGTAAACATTGGACTGTGTGACCCCTTAAGTTCATGAAGACAGAGGCCATGCTCGTCTAACCAGCTCACTGCCATGTCCCCAGCGTCTGGCCTGGGCTGGCACACAGAGAGTACTTGGCAAAAATATGTTGCTGTGAAGAGTCAGTGGTTCAGTTTGGCTGGAGCATGGGAAGCTTGGAGAGAGGCAGTGGGGAGAAGGATAATGTCTTAGTTATCCACTGCTGTGCAACAAATTACCTCAAAACTTAGTGGCTTAATTCAACAAGAAACGTTTATTATCTCTCAGTTTCTGCAGATCAGCAATTCAAGAACAGCTTGGCTGTTGGGTTCTGGCTTGGAGCCTCAAGCATTGCAACCATGTGTTGGCTGGGACTGCAGTCATCTGAAGGTTTGAGTAAGGCTGGGGGATCCCCTTCCATGCAGCTCACTCACACACCTAGCAAGCTGACGCTGGCTTTGGTGGGAGACCTCACTTCCTCCCCACAGGGGCTCCTCTGCAGGGCTGCTTAAGCGTCATAACGTCACGGGGACTGACTTTGCCCAGAGTGAGGGATCCGAGAGAAAGGAGCTAGGAGGAAGCTATAAGCTTTTTACTGCTTGGCCTCTGAAGTCATAGCATCACTTCTGCCACATTCTATGCATTAGAAGCAAGTCACTAAGTCCAGCTCACATTCAAAGGGAGGGGAATCAGGCTCCACATTTCAAAGGGAAAAGTGTCAAAGAATTTTTGGACATATTTTAAATCACCACAGATAATGAGGCTGGGAAGGTTTGTCTGCTCAGAACTCATGGGCTCTCAGGGCCAAGTGGAACTCCAAGGGACTCAGCCTCCCATGGGGATCCAGCAGTCCTGCCTGGGTGCTATCTATCCAAGGGACTGTGAGTCCTGGCAGGAGGCAAGGCAGTATAAATGAACCAAGTGAAGACACAGCGCCACAGGCTGCAGAGGAACTGGAAGTGGCTCAGACCAGGGCAGGAGGCACTTTCTATCAGGTGAAGCATCAACCTGAGGACATAAACCGCCTTCCCCCAGGAGAGTGAGGAAAGGCCTATAGTGGCATCTGAGCTGCATTCCTCCAAAGCTTTTATTGAGGCCCCAAGTGTGGAATATCCACAGAAGGTTAAATGTGCATGGTCTGCCTGCTCAGAGAGCATCAAAAGCATCGGAGCCGAGGCCTGGAGGGACCCTCTCTGACCATAGCCACTGATACTGTCTCCATCCCACACTTGGTGAGACCTTTTGATGCCACTCACTGTTGGAACACGGCTTTTTAGGTGGCTACAGATATTCCCATGAGAAAACTGTGAGCTCCTCAGTGCAGCTTAAGTGCCCTGGAGATTGTTTAAACTCCTTTGCCCATTTTACCCCCATCAAAGTTCCCTCACCATTGTTAGAGTCTTCTCTCCTTCTCTGCTCCTAGTTCTCTGAACATGCTTGATCCGCACGTGCCTCGCCATTTCTCAGCTTCTTGACTCGGTGTCTTTGAGAGAGCCTGGAAGGCCCTCCCCTGCCTGTCTCTCTCTCCCCTCAATGACTGACCCTCAGGTGAAGTGTCAGGATTTGCTCAGTGAAAGGATGAGTCTGGGGAAGGCCTGCTGTCCCTCAAGAAGCAGCAAATACCTCTGGACCTTCTCCTTTTGCTGCCCCAAACTAAGGAGCACTCCCCCCTGCTGTGTCCCCCTACCTTCCTGCCCCGCTGCCCCACCCCGCCCCAGCCATGTGTATATCAGGACCCCTGGCCAGGCTCCTCAGGACCTGCGTGTAGACTAGCCATGGGGATTATTTTATATATATATATATATATATATATATATATTTTTTTTTTTTTTGGTGAGGAAGATTCTCCCAGAGCTAACATCTCTGCCAGTCTTCCTCTATTTTGTATATGGGTCATTGCCATAGCATGGCTGACAAGTCATGCAGGTCCACACCCGGGATCTGAACCCAGGAACCTTGGCTCCTGAAGCCAAGTGTGCCAACTTAACCACTAGGCTGTGGGGTTGCCCCCTACAATATATATTCTTTTTTTTTTTTTTTTAAAGATTTTATTTTTTTCCTTTTTCTCCCCAAGGCCCCCCAGTACTTAGTTGTATATTCTTCGTTGTGGGTCCTTCTAGTTGTGGCATGTGGGACGCTGCCTCAGCGTGGTTTGATGAGCAGTGCCATGTCCGTGCCCAGGATTCAAACCAACGAAACACTGGGCCGCCTGCAGCAGAGCGCGCGAACTTAACCACTCGGCCACGGGGCCAGCCCCTACAATATATATTCTTAAAAATTAGTGCTGGGTGTATAGAACACCGTGTAACTGTTCATTTTGATACATTGGCTATGAATTTCTTGGATCTGGCTGTGTAACCTTGGGCAAGTTGTGTAGCCTCTCTGAGCCTTCAGTTCCTTATCTGTCAAAGTGGGAACAGATACCAACCTCACTGTGAGAATTAAAGATAATGTGTGTAAAACTTTGAGCTCTTCTTAGAACTCAGTAAGAGTTGGGAAAATGGGGAATTTCTGTCCTGCCCTCCTTGCAGGGCTGGTGTGAGGACTGGAAACAAATGTGGGTGCTAGACAAAGGAGGGCTGCGACTATTCTGGTATCCTTTTCAGGTAAGTCACTACATGTCATCTGTGAACTTTGGGAAATGGAGGGAAGATGTGGAGGAGAGAAGCTGAGTACCTGTGGCGTGGCAGGCCCCAGGCTATGCCTTCACACATCGCTTCCTTGTTCTTCACCACAACACAGGGAGGTGGGAATTGTTACCCCTTTCACACATTCAGCCCTTGAGGCTCAGAGACCCCTGATCTGCCAGCAGGGCTCTTTCAAGCCCCAGCCCAGATCAGCCAGAAACTGGAGCTGGACGTTGCAGTGACATCCTTGACCAGGGAGGAAAGAGGTAAGACAGTGGGGATGTGATCAGAAAGACCTCTGTAAGTCAAAGGGAAAATGAACTTTTGAGACAGAACCTTGGAGGCTGGTTGCAAGAAGACCAGAGTAGGGAAGTCTTGAAACTGGAAGAAAGCAGAGAGGACAATCAGGCCGCACAACCAATTTACAGACGAGGAATCTGGGGGGCAGAGAGGGAAGGTGGCAGAAGCAGGACTGGAAACCAGGTTTCCCGACCCCCAGTGTGATCACTCTGGAGGGCCCTGAAAGCGAGCTGCATCTTCTGGGCTGCGGCTGAGGGCCAGAGGGGAGGTCAGCGGACAGCCTAGAGCTTCAAAGGGAACAGGAAGTCTTCAGACAGATCAAAGTTCCCAGAGAGCTGGGAACTAGGACAAACCGAATTATCTTCTTGACTCACTTAAAAATTTCTCGCCTCTGGGAAGGCCATGTCTTGACCATTTTTCTGTTATAAAAATCGTCCTCACTGTCAGCTTGCTAACCAAAGCAACAGAAAACTTTGACCATCAGCCCTGCTGGCTCCCCACTGCTGCCTCTTTCCACCAGCTTCTACCCTGCCTGTCAGATGACAAAGACTTATACACACACACACATACACACATGCACGCACTGCGCGCGCACGCGCGCACACAGACACACACACGCATGCACACGTCCTACTCAGTGGCTGCCCATTGTTTACTCAGTCAAAACCAGATGTCCTTGTCTGTCATTCAAGGTCGTCCCAGCCTGGGCACAGTTCAGCTCATTGGCCTCCCCTCCTGCCACTCTGCCCCCAAATTCTCTCTGCTCCCTTGCAGCTTCCCCAAAGGAACTTTCATTTTCACGGTGCCCTGTTTTTTCTACTGAGATGACTCCCCCCTCACCTTTTCCTCCTCTGCCTTTAAAATCTTATCTTTCAGGCCCATTTCCTAGGACTCCTCCTCTAGGAGACTCTCCTTGACCTCTACCACCATCTCTTCCCACAGGAGAAAAACTTGGTTATTTCTCTACCACACCATTTATCAAAGTCTCACTTGAACTGTGCAGCATTGTCCTCCTCTGCCCCAACATTTTATTATGAAACATTTCAAATTTGAAGCAAAGTTGAAAGAATTTTACAGTTAGCACTCATTTCTCTAGCACCTTGTTTCTACCATTAACACTTTATCATATTTGTTTTATCACATATCCATCCATCTTTCCATGCTACTGTCCCTCTATTAATCCATATTATTATTATTATATTATTATTATTTTGCTTTTTCTCCCCAAATCCCCCCAGTGCATAGTTGTATATTTTGGTTGTAGGTCCCTCTAGTTGTGGGATGTGGGATGCTGCCTCAAAATGGCCTGTTGATGGGCACTGGCCCTGTGGCCGAGTGGTTAAGTTCGCGCGCTCTGCTGCAGGCGGCCCAGTGTTTCGTTGGTTCGAATCCTGGGTGCGGACATGGCACTGCTCATCCAGCCACATTGAGGTGGCATCCCACATGCCACAACTAGAAAGACCCACAACGAAGACTATACAGCTATGTACTGGGGGGCTTTGGGGAGAAAAAGGAAAAAGTAAAATCTTAAAAAAAAAAACAAAGGCCTGATGAGCAGTGCCATGTCCGTGCCCAGGATCCAAACCAGTGAAACCCTGGGCTGCCAAAGTGGAGTGCGCAAACAACCGCTCGGCCACGGGGCTGGCCCCTCCATATTCTTTTTGATACATTTCAAAGTAAAATCTAGAGATCAGTGCACTTCTCCCTAAATATTTCTAGATGTATACCATTTACCAGAGTTCAATCTTTTATACAGTTTTTTTTCTATTTTGATGTGAAATTTATATACAATGAAATATAAAAATCTTAAGTGTACATTTGCTGAATTTGGACAAGCACATATACCTATACAATCCAACCCTTATTGACATACAGAACATTATCAGCACTCAGAAACTTCCCTCCTGCTCTTCCCTAGCAACTCTTCCCTGCCTTCATCCCACGCAACCACTCTTCTGATGGTTTTTCCTGTTTTCCCTGTTTTAGAATTTCATATAAGTGAAATCATATACTATTTACTCTTGTGTTAGGCTTCTTCTACTCAGCATGGTTTTTTTTTTGAGGAAGATTTGCCCTGAGCTAACATCTGTCGCCAATCCTCCTCTTTTTGCTGAGGAAGACTGGCCCTGAGCTAACATCCAAGCCCATTTTCCTCTACTTTATGTGGGACGCCTGCCACAGCATGGCCTGACAAGAGGTGTATAGGTCCACACCCAGGATCCGAACCGGCGAACCCTGGGCCACCAAATGGGAATATGAGAACTTCACTGCTGCACCACCGGGCCAGCCCTCTACTCACCATGTTTTTGAGATTCAGACATTTTACATAAAATCAGTAGTTTGTTTCTCTTTATTGACACATAGTATTCCATTGTATAGATGTACTACAATTTTTGTTCATCCATTCATCTGTTGATGGACGCCAGGGCTGTTTCCAGTTTGGGGCTATTAAGAACATAGTTGTCATGAACATTCTTGAACAAATCTTTGTATGGATGTATGTTTTAATTTTATTGGGTAAATACCTAGGAGTGGAATTAAGTTTGTCTTTTTCTTCCTCTGGTTTGTGAGCTTTTGAGGGCTGATTTATTCAGTCTCTAGTTCCAAGCACAGTGTCTTGGTACATGGTAGGTTCTTAGTAGCAATTTATCGAAATGAAATATAATTCAAGCACAACATAATTTTCCCATATTCTATATAATATAGACCTCTCACTTAGCACACTATGGGCCCAGTAAGACATGAATGTTGTTTCCTTTAATCTTCCCAATGTGCCTCTAAGGTAAGAATTATCTCATATTACAAGCTAGGAAACAGAGGCCAAGAGAAGCTAGTCAGCTGTTGGAGGTCACAAAACAGGTGAGGGTAAGAGAGAGAATTTAAACTGACATTGTTTGCGTGAAGTCCCTGCATATTTCTCTATCTTGCTTTGCTCCTCCGAGGGTCTCAGCTCCTTTAGCTGGAATGCTTGGAGTGACAATCCCAGTTCACCCTTTGTCTGCTCTCAAGGACTAGACAAGGTGGGCTATCTCCTTTCCCTCTATTGCCGTTAGACATGAATGACTATTTTCTGGTGGACCTCCAGATATCACCTACCTTGATAGAGATCAAAACTGCACTCCTCCAGAAGGGAGGGATATAGTTTACATCAAAATGCTGAGTGCCAACAAGTAAATGTGGAGGGAGTGGTGGGATGGAAAATCCATCACTGTGCAACCAGAAAAGATTGGTTTAGGCAAGAATCATCAATGGATGCTAAGTGTAGGGAATAATTTCGAGGAGGAGCAGGATATAAGCATGTCTCAAAGTGTCTCTCCATAGATTGCTTATTATGTTGCAAAGAAAAAAAACGGTAACAGTACATTGGAGAAGTCAAAAAACACCTTGAATTGATGATCAAAATTCACATGACCAGTGAGGGGCAAAGTGATACAGTGTGCCTCCTGATATGATGCCCTGAGAAGGATAAGCCATCACTTATGCAATATTCCGGACTGGGATGCATAACCTGAATCTAACCATGAGAAAACATCAGACACCTCAAGTGAGATACATTCTAATAAAAAAACCAGGGAGCTGTATTCTTCAAAAATGTTAATGTCATAAAACACACCCACATACTCACGCGCTATGGCTGTGAAAATGTTCCACATTAACAGAAACTAAAGAGACATGACAGCTGAATGTGATATTTGATCCTGGACTGGATCCTGTTCTGGAGGAGAGAAAAGTACTCCAAGGGACATTATTGAGTCAATTGACAAAATTGGAATATGGATGGTAGATTAGATAAAGTCAAATTAAATTTACGGCAGTTGATATCTGTACTGTGATTATAAGAAATATCCTTATTATCAGGACTACACACTAAAGTATTTAGGGTTAAAAAGTCTTAATGTATGTGATCTACACTCAGGTGGCTCCAAAAATATTGTTTGCATGTGGTGTGTGTGTGCAAACAGAATCAAGCAAATAGCCCAGAAGAGGTGAATCTTGGTAAAGGGTATATGAGAGTGTTATGCACTATTTTTATCCTTGCAAATTTTCAGTAAGTTTGAAATTATTTCCAAACAAAAAGTTTAGAAAATGTTCCCCTGTGAAGTCTCTCGAATCCTAATTCAGTCAATGTGGACCATGCCCATAGGAATTCCAAGAACATGTGCAGTTTCTGTCCTAAATATAAGTTAGTTTGTCCCAACCTGCCAAATGTTTGATTCCAAGCTAAGTGAAGACGTGCCAAGGAGCTAAGGCAGGCATCTTTTATAAAGAATCCCTTTGTCTTTGTCTCCTCTCAAAACACCTTTCCTAGAGCAGTTTCTCACTGGAGGCTTGTTGAATCGGCCCAGAATTGCTTTCTAGCTTCTGAGTAACCAATGGTGAGCTCTGAATAGAAGGTCTGAGGTCTGGCTCCTGCCTCCCTCTCTCCTGCTGATCTGCTGCACGATGTTGCCCTCTTTATCTGTGGGGTGAAGGGTTTGCACCAGAGCAGAGGTTGTAAATTAGCAACCCAAGAGCCACCAGTCCACACATGTGTTTGGCCTACATAGTATTTTTTAAAACGCTTAATTAGTTGCCAGCACTCAATAACTAGGACACCGCACATAAAAATTTGGCTCCATCTTCTCTGTCCACTCTGGGCCCACATTTCCAGCAACTGGCAGCATCAGCTGGAGTTGGGGCATGTGCCCTCCTGTTCCTCACAAGTCCCCACCCCACTCTTTCATATTCTGCTTGGCCTTTGGACTGGAAGATCTCAAAGGACCTTCCAGTTCACATCTTCTCTGACCATGTCTCATCTCTTTAGGGACTTCAGATGCTGAACAAGAGGTTGATGGAGTGAAGAGTGAGGTGAAGAAAAGCAATAATAGAACCAAGATGAGAATCGTCTCAAGTACATTGGCCTACAAAGGACCAGATTCTGGTTCAAGATGTTGACGTACCCAGTGGAGATCCTGAAGGAATGTGATGCTTAAAGTCAGAGTTGGGAAGAAACTAGGAGGTTTTACTGGGACTCAGGGTTCAGAACGAAGGATGGAAGAAGAATTGGGGGAAAGCGAGGTGTCTGCCGAGCCTGCCAAGTGCCTGGAACTGGTGAGCAGTCTTGGGGGCAGAGCTGAGAGCAGTTATGACTTATAGCCAGGAAGTGGATCCTGGAGAGAAAAGAGAAAGAAAAAAACAAAAAAATCAAGGGGTAGTGGAAAGAGCATTGAGCAAGGAATCAAAGGATGTAGCTTCTAGTTCTAGATCTACCACTTACTAGTTGTGTGATCTTGGACATATTAATCCACATCCGTGAATCAATTTCCTCGACTTCAAATAGGGATGATAATACTAGCCCTGCCAATCTCAGTTATAGAAGGCCTAACCTGCAGGACCCGAGAGAAAGCACTTAGCAACCAGGGAAGCACTATCCCAAGTTGAGATGAAATTCAGCTGTGATTTAGTGTTAGAATGCCTGGGCTTTAAGGGCCCTTTCAGGATCTGCAACCCTCTCATTTCACAAACAATGATTTGAGGCCCCAAGAGCAGAAATTACACACGTAGCAAGTTTAGGGCAGAGACGGGCACAATGCTCCCTTAGTTTTAGAGTAGAACCCCCTGTGTGCTCCCTCTAGAGGTAGGTAAATGAAACTAACCAAAGGAACAGAGAACAAGGACCTAGCTAGGGGGAATTCCTGTTCAGGGAATGCCCCCAAGGTGTGTGTTTCATTACAACCACTCAAAAGAGACAGGTCCTTGTAACTAGTCCTGAAGTCACAGGAACAAGGAAACCTTAGTGAATCTTGAAAGAAGCAGTCTTCTTTCAAGGGAAAGGAAGTCCCACGTTGCGTACTACACAGCATGCACAGTGAATGAGATCACAGAAAGCAAGAGGTGAAGAGAGCATCTTGTTCTACTCCCCTTGATAGAGATGAGGAACCCGAGGCCCAGAGATGGGAAATAGCTTGCCCAAGGCCACATAGCTTGTTCCTGGCAGTGGTGGGACTGTAATGGGGTTTCTCAACTGGTAGTCCAGGGCTTTTACTCCATGTACCAATTGGGATTGCCTTTCGCAGCAAGTGACAGAGACTAATGGCGGCTTACATCAATTCAGATTTATTGACTAATGATGGCTTTAAGAGATAGGGGTTATTTTTCTCACTTTACCGGAAGTCCTGAGGTGGGCAGTCAAAGATTAGTGTAGTTGCTGAAGAGGTTAAGGACCTAGTCTCCTCCTATTTTCCTACTCCTCACCCTTAGCCCATGGCTTTTGTTCTTATTGTCTTAAGATGGCTGCTTCAACTCAAGGCATTGTGTCCATATTCCAGGCAGGTGGAAGAAATGCAGCTGAGTTTGCCTTTTTATAAAGGCTTACCTGAAAGCTCCATCCAGTGAGGCACATAGCCATCCCGACTGCAAGGGAGTCTGGGAAGGTGAGTGTTTTAAGTGTCCTGTCACTAAAGTAGGACACAGCAGGGGGCTTTTGAATTATTGGTCCATAATGTTTGCCACATCACTATGCTACACCACTTTAAAAATGAAAGAAAGGGGCTGGCCTGGTGGCGAAGCAGTCAAATTCATATGTTCTGCTTTGGCGGCCCGGCATTCACCGGTTTGGATCCCAGGTATGGACATGGCACTGCTTGGCAAGCCATGCTGTGGCAGGCATCCTGCATATAAAGTGGAGGAAGATGGGCATGGATGTTAGCTCAGGGCCAGTCTTCCTCAGCAAAAAGAGGAGGATTGGTAGCAGATGTTAGCTCGGGGCTAATCTTCCTCAAAAAAAAAAGAAAAGAAAAAACGAAAGAAGAGGTGGGTGCAACAAACACCTGCCTGAGGGTCAGAAAATGGGTTCAAGTTTGGATTCTGCCACTTTTTTGTGTTTTCAACATATCCCAATTACTTCATCTGAAAAAAGTTTGGGCTACTGACCCCAAAAGACGCTTCTGGCTCTTAAATTCTGATTTTATCCTATTCAAATTCGAACCCTGTGGTTATATTTTCCTCTCTCCATGGAATTCTAACATAAACATTGTAAATTACAATAAAAATTGATATGTAAAAATTGCGTATTTTTCTGACAAGTGTTGTTACCAAAAAATTTCAGCAAGATTTCTACCTTGAGAGCATCAAGATCTCTCTCTGTATTTTCTTCTAAAAGTTGTGAAGTTTTATAATGTTTTTCTATAGAAGACTTACATATAGATTTTTTTCTATCACATTTTCTAATTGATGATACTGGTATATAGGAAAACTATTCCTTTATGTATATCCAGGAACTTTGCTGAATTCTCTTATTAATTCTAGTAATTTGTAGACCTTCCTAAATTTTCTTTTTTTGCTGGGAAAGATTCACCCTGAGCTAAAATCTGCTGCTAATCTTCCTCTTTTTTTTTTCTCCCCAAAGCCCCAGTACATAGTTATATATTCTAGTTGTAAATCCTTCTAGTTCTTCTATGTGACCCACTGTCACAGCATGGCTACTGGCAGATGAGTGGTGTGGTTCCACACCTGGGAAGCCAACCCAGGGCGCCAAAGCAGAGCATGCTGAACTTTAACCACTAGGCCATCAGGGCTGGCTCTTCCCAAATTTTCTACACAGACAATTATATTACCTACAAATTAGGATAGGCAGAAGTAATAGCCTGAGGAAGGTCCTGAGAGGGAAAAGTTCAAGAAACAAAGAAGGCAGATGATGCTGGGCAGAGTGAGAAATAAGGCAGATGATGAGGTAAGACAGAGAAAAAGCATCATCATCGCACAGGGTCTTGAAAGCTATTTTCAGGTTAAAATTGGAGGGATGACTCTATGGTTTAAGCCATTGGGCTCTGCCCATGTTTGTGTCCTGGCCAACATTTGATCAAAATTTGGATGAATAAATATAAATCATGCTTTTTATGATAAATATATTGGATAACTCTAAAATGTCTTATTTTGAACTTGTAGAGCCTCAAGAATATATCCTTAGACATGGGGCTGAATGTTTGATGAGACCTTTTCCAACTCTGAGATGCTAGAGATCTATGTTTTTCATCCTGGGCACCCTGGAACTGGAAGGAATATTCTTTCCCATTGGAGGTAGGGAAACAGAATGAACCTGTACTTTGAGAAATAATCCACCAGGGAAGATCCTTGTTTACACAAATAATTACCACACGTGATAATATGTGAGTAATATAATAGGTGGGTGCTGTAATAGAGGGGCATATAAGGGGTGCAGGAGGGCGTGTATGAATTGGAGGGGGTGGTGCAGAAGGTTGCGAAGCTTGGACTGAAGCAGAGGCAGAGGGAGGGCTTGGAGTGGCTGTGGAAAGAAAAAAGGGAATGAACCAGAACAGCATCAGTGTTGATGTTTCTGAGGCAGAAGGAGCATCTGGTAGGCTTGAGCTGGGAGAAGGAAGGGAATAATTGAGAATGACTCCTGGGTGTCTAGCTTGGGATACACATAACACGGTCACTTTATTTTATTTATTTATTTTTTTTGAGGACAATTAGCCCTGAGCTAACTACTGCCAATCCTCCTCTTTTTGCTGAGGAAGACTGGCCCTGAGCTAACATCTGTGCCCATCTTCCTCTGCTTTACATGTGGGATGCCTGCCACAGCATGGCGTGCCAAGTGGTGCTATGTCTGCACCCGGGATCCGAACCAGTGAACCCCGGGCCGCGGAAGCGGAACGTGCACTCTTAAGAGCTGCACCACCGGGCCGGCCCCCAACATGGTCACTTTATTACCTTAAAGAAGGAATGAAGGATTCCAACACTTTTGAATCTTCCTAGCCATTGACTTCTTTTTTTAAAATTTTGTTTGTTAAGTGATCCTATATTGAAGTATTGTCCTCTGCAGGTCTTAACTAGCCCAGCATTCCACCACACCACTCTTGATGTCATGAGGGTGGTAGCCATCAACACTGCAGTCCACAGACTGGGCAGTCTCCAGGATCTCTTTTTTTTAAAGATTTTATTTTTCCTTTTTCTCCCCAAAACCCCTGGCACATAGTTGTGTATTTTTAGTTGGGGGTCCTTCTAGTTGTGGCATGTGGGATGCTGCCCCAGCATGGCTTGACGTGTGGTACCATGTCTGCGCCCAGGACTCGAACCGGCGAAACCCTGGGCCGCTGAAGCGGAACACGTGACCCTAACCACTTGGCCACAGGCCGGCCCCTCCAGGGTCTCTTTAATGGTTCCAGAGAGTTCTCTGGCCAATGACAGATGGTACCCCATCTGTTGGGCAAGGTTGACAATCTTGTCAAAGGTGATATTCCTGTTGTGCTTAATGTTTCTCTGCTCCTTCCTGTCTCTTGGCGGTTCTTTGAGGGCTTGGATGATGAGGGCAGAGGCAGAAGGTACCACCTCAATCTGAGCCTGTTGGTTCTGTATAGTCAGTTTCACCGTGATTCTCAGACCCTTCCAATCACCAGTTGCCCTGGTGATGTGATTGCCCAACTTTTTTGGAGACAACTTTGATTTTGTTGGGGTCGAACTTAGGCGGCATGGTGGAGGCAGCTGGTGTTGGATGTACCAGGATTCAGGATGACTGAAGAGAGTTGCACCTTGGCCTCCTCCAGGGTGAGAGAGTCAAAAGCTAGGCGTTGACTCCTAAGGAGTTCAAAGCCAATTCCATTCATGAAGCCTGGGACAGGCCCTGGGGCTGCCTACTCCAGGCAGCAGGAAGAAGAATCAAAGTAATCTTTTTAGCTCCCGTGTGTGTTTTCCTACAACAGTAAATTCACGATTAGACAAAATCTGTGGGCTTTGGTGTGAAGTAATGCTAATTTCACCAGGACAGGAAACCTATTTTATTCATCTTTGTACAAGTGCTCCTCACTGTGTGGACCTTCCTGATGTGCAGGTACTCATTGTCTGTTCGATGAACGAATTCAGGCTTGCAATGGTAGTTTCCCTTCTTGGGAGCCTGGGTAAATACGAGAGCGGAGGAAAGCTTTGGGTTTGGGTCCAAGACACCTGGCTTATTAATTGGTGCATGACCTAGGTCAGTCATTTCAGTTCTCTGTGATTGGCCAAAAGGCCTTTCCAGAGCTCCAATTTATACTTCTATGCCTTTTCTACTTATTCTTTTACTCTTAATCCCTTCAGATTTTTCAAGACTTTTTTTTTTTTTAAAGATTGGCACCTGAGCCAACAACTGTTGCCAATCTTTTTTTTTCTTTTCTGCTTTCTCTCCCCAAATCCCCCCAGTACATAGTTGTATATTCTAGTTGTGGGTCCTTCTAGTTGTGGCATGTGGGACGCCGCCTCAGCGTGGCCTGATGAGCGGTGCCATGTCCGCTCCCAGGATCCAAACCGGCGAAACCCTGGGCTGCCACAGCGGAGCTTGTGAACTTAACCACTTGGCCATGGGGCCGGGCCCTTGTCAAGACACTTAACACTCCTTTATAGTCATTATGACATTAACAGTAAACTCTGTAAATGCTTGCTAAGTGCTAGGCACCAATCTAAGCACTTTACGTATATTAACACATTTGATCCACATAACCCTAATGAGCTAGGTACCATTACTATCCATTTTACAGTTGAGGAAACTGAGGTGTAGAGAGATTAAATATGTTCCACAAACGCACATAACTTGTAAGTAGCAGTGCTCAGATTTGCACAGGGAATACGGGTCCAGAGTCAATGTTTAACTACCTCAGTATGCTACTTCTGGGTCATCCTAATAGGGACTATGAGACAAGCTGGTGGTGTATTATCTCATTTTTATAAATAAAGCAGCTGAAGCCTAACTTCCCTAAGTTACACAGCTAGAAAGCAGCAGAGCTGGACCTCAAACCCCGGCTTTCAACCAACTCCAGTTCTTACCAAGAAGAACCAAGTTATTCTGGTAACCAGTCTGCTCTAGAGGTTTGAGTTTATGGCCCAAACGCCTGGCTGCCTGAGTTAAAGCCCTACCCAGCCAATTACTGCCTTGCTGGCATTAGGTAAATTACTAAACTTCTTGTGTGTTTCCTCATCTGTAAAATGAGGAGAACATTAATACTAATCATATAGGATTTTTGTGATGATAAATGAGTTATCAGGTGTCACATACAAGAATGCCTGGATCATAGTAAGCAATAAAAAGGTGTTAGCTATCACTTTTCGTTCTGGACCAGCGCTATCTGGCGAAATATATGAACCAAAAAGTAATTTTAAGTTTTCTAGTGGACACATTTTAAAATGGAAAAAGAAATATGAAATTATTTTAAATATATTTTATCTAACCAAATATATCCAAAACTGTAATCAATTATCCAACTTGTAATCAATATAAAAATTATGAATGAGCTACTTTATATATTTTTTGTTTTAAGTCTCGGAAACCCAGAATTTCTACACTTACAGCACATCTCAACTTGCATCAGCCACGTCACTTGTGGCTGGTGGCAGCGCAGCCCTGGAGAGGCCCCCTGGCCGCGGCCTCGTGCCCCTACGGTTCCTTCCAGCGAGCAGCTGGCCCGCGCCCCAGCCCCGCCCCGCGCCCCGCCCCGCGCCCCGCCCAGGTTACATCACAGAGCCCAAGGGCCCGCCGGCGGGGAGACCCGGGCCCGGCCGCGTGTGCCCGGCCGCCCACATCCTTCCTACTCCAAGCACCCAAGTTCTAAAAGGAAGGGACGACCATCACAGTGCAGCAGGGGCGGTCAACCTGCCCCCGGCCGCTTCGGCGTCAGCCGGCGGGAGGCGGGATCCTGCAGCCCCCTGCGTACTTTGCCCCCAACGGCCCTCCACTCGCGCCGCTATCACCGCGAGGTCGAGGCGGTGGGGTCAGCGCTCATTGGTCCGCCGCAGCCCTCCGCCCGCCCCGTCGCCGCGCTTATTGGCGGGAGCCGCGGCGCCCGCGGGATAGGCGGTGGCGGCGCCCCTCCCTCGCGCCGGCCCTCAAGAGGGCGACGAGGAAGCGGCCGCCTCCCTGCGCCCCGCCCCTCGGGCTTGCTTGCTGGCTCCAGGCTCCTCCCGACCTCTCCCGGCTCCTCCCGGCCCTCTCCCGGCTCCCTCCGGCTCCGGCTCCGGCGCGGCGGCGGCGGGTAGGTGCAGCCGCAGGCGGGGCCCAGTCGGAGGGGCGGCTTTCCCGCTGTCCCGGGGCTGCCCGAGCCTCGCCCCGCGGCCGCCGGGACCCCACAGGGCCCGCCTGCGGCGGGGAAGGGCGGTGGCCGCCAGCTTGCGGGACGCGGGGGCGACCGGGCGGGAGGCCTGGGGGCGTGATCTTCCTAGTCTTCAAGGCGTGATCTGGGGGCCCGCGCGCCGGGGCGTGGCGGGCTGAGAGGTCCGGCTTCGGGGGTCTGGAGCGTTGGGCCGAGCGGCATGCCTCGGGCTGGGGATGGGGCTGAGCCCGGGGAGCGAGGGTCGGCTGCAGTCTGGGGCCCTGGGAGGGGCTCGGGGGAGCGGGAGAACTCAGAGATCATTCTGTGAGGCTTTTGGGGGCTCCGTTGAGGTGGGGCTGAGGCGAACCTTAGAGAGGGTGCCCACTCGGGTTATGGGAGGGGCTGAGGGGTGGTCTGGAGAACCGGGCCCCAGCCCGGGCTCTCTGCCTGCGTCGGCCCTGGCGCTGTGTGGGGACTAGGCGTGTGTCTGGCTGCGGGAGTGCGAAGGGGTTTCAGTAAGGGTGGGGATGGGAGGAAAGGGGCAGGAACCAGGAGGGGCAGTTGGAAACGTTACCCAGAACAGAGATTGTGGTTTATTTAGCACATGGGCCAGATTCTTCGCTGGTGTGTTGCCTGAGCTCTTCTTTAGTGAAATTGGCCGGTGGGGGAGTGTAGTGGGTTTTGCTTCCATCCGGGAACGTGTAAATTAGATTCATTTGCTGCTTTTGGGAGGAGACAGTGATTACGCTTAAGTTTGTGTTTTAGGATCCAGACCCAGGGTCAAAGGTGCTTCTCGGGGAGTTTAGTGTTACCCAGCTTTCTCCTGGAAACCCCCTTTTCTCCTTTCCCTCCTCTGGTCCAGTTACAGTTTTGCTCCCCAGGGCCTCTCGTTTCCCTCTCCCTGGCTACATGGCATTGCAGTGTTTCTTGCTCTGTGTTTGCCTCCCGCCTATTTCCCTGCTGCTGCGCTTTTGGCAACTGCCTCTGCTCTTTCCCAGGGATGGTTGTGGCATTGCATCAGGGGATATTTGTGCTTGTAATTTGCTCACTCAGCCCAGGAAGAGGGAGAATAGTGTGCTGCAGAGATGGGAGGGGAATGCCGTCAGCTCGGCTGGGTAGGCAGAGAAATGGGTGTGGTGAGGGAATACAGCTGCTCTTGGCCTATAGGGTAACACTGCCCAGTCATCGGCTCAAAGGGATTCAAAGAGCAGCAGCAGCAGCTATTTTTATAAATCAGTCCTGAATCCAAGCTGAGCACATGGATTTAGAGTGAACAGTTGTCATGCTCTAACTATTACAGGCTGAGTGTTTGGTAGACAACATTAGAGTTGCTAAGCAAGAGACTCCATCCATCTGTAGAGTGCAGGGGGTACTTG